AGAGATACAAATTATTCTTTTTCACACCACCTGCTGAGAGGGGATGCTGGATTAGGACCCATTTCCTTCCATTGAGACTGCATTTCTAAGGTTGGGTTGAGGTGAGAATCAACTCTATTCCCTTGTCATTTCCAATCTTACGCCTTAATCTTCTAAATCAAGAAGGGCTCTGGTGTTGATTGAATTGCTCTAATCCTGAAGCCATGTCTACCACCAGCTGCTGTGTACTGAGTTCTAGTAAAGATGACCTTGTCTAAATCACTGTATCATCTAGGACATTTCTTTCAGAGACCAGATAAAGCAGCTATAAAAGCTTTCCCTAGCACCTAGCTCTTCCTGTATAGCTACCACATTTTTAATCTTATTTGGAAGTTGAGGTTTGCAGAAGTATAATTATTCCATCGGGTACACAGTTTAAGTATTTTTAGGACAGGAGGACTGTCTCCATTTCCTAGCCCACTTCCCTGCCCAGATGCATCTGGCTGTCCATCCCTGGAACCCCCTTCCAGAGAGTAGTGCAGGTTTAAAAGCATTTCTAGGCAGAGGCTATTAAGGGGCAGAGAGTCAGAAGAAAATTGAGCTTTCTAGTTTATTTTCTGAAAGTGCAAGACAAGGCCCTGCTTAGCTGGGTCCACCAAATAGTCCCAAGTACTGCAGTAACCTCTCCTAGTACAGGAAGACCCGCTGCTGAGACAGTAACAGAAGGTGCCCTACTTAACTTGTGGTTGGTTTGATGTTGTGTATCTGTAACATGCTGTGCAGGTTCTCTCCGGAATATCTTTTCTATTTGACCAAAACCCATCTCTCCCCGTTTCCACCTAAATCAGATAACTTCTAGATTATATTAAAATGAATAGAGGAAATAGACATCAGCTGTCTAGCCCCTCTAATGGGAGATGAGGAGGTGAGTGTGCCTGAGTCTCTGCAGATATGGTGACTGATCCATGCAAACCTCTTCCGGCCCCACCAGCCGCAAGCAAGGAACCTGCAGCATCCAGCCCTGGACGTGCAATGGGCCCAGCACACACTGATCCTACATAATCCTGATGAGCGGGGTGTCACAGTCATTCCCCAGTGATGGTCAGGATGTGCTGTTTTTCATTTTCAGCCGTTCTAATTATCCAGCTGATTTAATTTTCCTGTACATGTAATGCTCTACTTCTAAATTACAAAACGTTCTGGAAGCAAATCATTGTTGCTAATCTAGTAGTTAGGAAATTTCCACTAAGTCAACAATTGAAATGGTGTTTGAACTACAAAATCATAAATTTGTACTTCTTCAGGTGGATCATCTTAAACAAATACACTTTTTAAATGCAATAATTAAATAGTGCTCATTAAGAGAATATAAATGGCTTGGCCCTCACTTAGTTGAGTATCAGCAATCTGAATAAGCTCTCGCCATATCCTTTCACCAATCAGAGTAGGAATCATTCCATCATGAAGTCACAAAAGATGCTTCTGAGCTTCTGAACCTTTCCGGCTTATGCTAGATGTACACGGATGGCTGGGTGGGTGGCTGGGTGAGTGGGCTGCCGATTAATCATTGATGTAAAAATTGTGCATGATTATGAGCCCTTATCGAACAAGAGTTTAGATACACCCCCTGGCTTCCAGGGTTAGGCTTGGTCAATGTGGAGCTGACTGGCTCTCCACCCACCAGGCCCAGCCCTGGGTCAGTCTGTGCCACATGCTGAGAAGAGAATATGTTGAAGCAGAGTCCACTGTTGATTAACAGGCTTTCTTAAGGGTTCTAAAAGAACAAAACCAGGACGAGCTTGACAAGTTAGCACATACCACTTCCTGTCTTTTGCCCTTGGGGCAAGTCATTCATTATCTCTCATCCTTACCTTGTTCCTGCGTAAAATGAAAATGGAGAATTGCTAAATGGATTATATAAAATAATGCATAACGAGTGACCACACAGAGATGCCATCAATACTTGAGCTCCTGTAAAAATCATTCAGAAAGCCCGTCCCCCCATGAATCACCTAGCAGCACAATTTTTCTACCAAATAAACTGCCTTTTGTGACAAAAATTGATGGGGCATTTTAATATCATGTCCCTCAACTGCAACTGCAAAGACATTTCATCCCTTCTCCTAGGCAATCAGGTATTTTTATTTTTACTTCTCTGGCAAAATGTATAAATAGCTGCAGATTAGACTAAATTTTAATTTTAGTTGATGACTACCTCTCATGGCCCCAAGGGGAGGGATCATGACTCTCCTTTTCCCAGCTGAATCCTCAGCTCCTGGCACAGGGTCACCTCTATAATAGGCCCTCGCTGCAGATTTGTGACTGATGGTTGTGACTGATTTTCTAGAGCTGCCATAACAAATTACCACACACTTGATGGCTTAAAACAATAGGAATTTATTCTCTTACAGTGCTAAAGGCCAGAAGTTCAACATTAGTTTTACTGGGCCAAAACCAAGGTGCCAACAGGGCCATGCTCTCTCCAGAGGCTCAGGGGGGGAATCTGTTCCTGACCTCTCTCAGTTTCGGCAGGCTGCTGGCATTCCTTAGTATGTGGCCACATTGCTCCAATCACCGCCTCTCTGTCTTCGTAAGACCTTCTCCTCTTCTGTGCATATAAAACCTCCCTCTACCTCTCTTAAAAGGACATTGAATGGAGCACTGGGTGTTATACGCAAACAATGAATCATGGAACACCACATCCAAAAAAAAAAACAAAACACATTTATGATTAGATTTAGGGCACACCTAGATAATCCAGGATTATCTTTCCATATCTGGATCCTTACTTTATTCACATCTGCAAAGACCCTTCTTTTTTTTTTTTTAAAGATTTTATTTACCAGAGAGAGAGCACAAGCAGGGGGACCAGCAGGCAGAGCAGGCAGAGGGAGAAGCAGGCTCCCTGCTGAGCAAGGAGCCCAATGTGGGACTCAGTCCCAAGACCCTGGGATCATGACCTGAGCCAAAGGCAGAAGCTCAACCAACTGAGCCACCTAGGCATCCCCTGCAAAGACCCTTCTTTATAACATTTACAGGTTCCTGTGATTAGGACCTGCTCTCTTTGGGTGGCCATGATTTAGCCTTTAGATAGTGATACACTATCTCAGGTCCATGAGCATAGAAATGGGGGATTTGGGAGCAGTGGACGATGAGGCAGCCACCCACAGGTTGGGAGCTCAGAAACCAGGTTTCCTGACTCCGATCCTGCTCTTCCTGCGCTGTGTTCGATGACAGGCCGGCGAGAAAACAAAACTGGGTCTTCAGCCCTCTTGGGCCCTGTGCATCCTCCCTTTCATCCCCAAATCCCTCAGTAAGTTATTTTTTAAAGAGAAAAAACTCAATATTCCAAAGAAACCAAAACCCAGGCATCTTTAACTGAAGAGTTGCCTTCTTTACTGGCAGTTCTGTAATTTCAAACTAAATTAAGAAATAGGCATGAGAATATCTATGGTGATGACCAGCAAGAGTAGCAAAGCATCTCCCAAGGGTAAGGTACTATTTATTTAATGCTTCTCAAAGGTCTTTAAGAGAAAGTTAACCTCCTGAATTAAAAACCAAACAAAACAAAACAAAAACACCACCAACAGAGGGAGCCAGGGTAAGTGGCAACAAGGAGGGAAGAAATGAGCAACAGGAATAGTCCTTCAATTTCACTAAAAACTACTAAACCAAGTTCCCAATAAAAAGACTCTCTGTACCTAGCTGTAACCAAGAAATTAGTTGACCTTGCTTGCTTCCTCTGAGAATTTTTTAATCCCTAAAATAAAATTCAGATTTATTCAGTCACTTCCTTCTGAACATGACCTTTTATTCCAAAGCAGTAACTCTCAGGAGAACGCCAAGGGCCTCCAGAAGGACATCAAACTATCTGTTCACTAAATGGTGAAACAAAAATGCATCTTCCTTTTGTTTGCACATCCCAATCCCCAGTGATATGGATATTCTGTCTGTACTTGGTGCTAAGGTAACAGGCAAAGGCTCTGACAAACAAATCATACCAGAATATTACATGTAATTTAGAACCATAAGAAAATAAGCAATAACCTATGTATCTTTTTTGATAAAGTGATTAAACTCAATTGTCTAATATACAGACCTACTGTTGGCAGATTCCAGGCTTTCCTGGGGTGCTCACATTCATCACATATTATTTGACCAATACCTGCTGGAAAGAGCTTCCAGGCTCTCAGCAGAGTGAGGATGCAGAAGCGAGGGTACCCAGTCACGGAGGCCTGTGGAGTGAACATCTGATCTTCAGCTCTTCAGGCAACACAACTACATCTTGTCTGTAAGTCACATACACCCAGGTTCAGGAACACAGAGTCACAGAGGTTTTAAAAGTGACGCAAACATGGAATTAATAGCTTGGCGATCAACCTGTGCAGTGGTTCACCTCTCCCTCTTTCCAGAGACAGAGGTTCTACCCCGGGAACCGTGCAACACTGGGTGGAGGGGTTTCTGTGGAGGCTCGGCCACCACCCAGGCACCAGCCACCCCGGTGTGGCTCCTGGCAGTGCCTTCCCCACTGGACACCTTAGCTTCTGATGACCGGTACTCGAGTGTCAAGGACTACATCTGTCACTCTGAGGTTCTCTGTAGACAAAATTTTAAATTTCCATTTTGTTTTGGGGACTTAGTAAATTTTTGGAGAAAGTGGATTTTTACGTAAAAAAAGAGAGTTCCAGAATAGTTGTTTTTAAATGCTACTCTAATTTTTGCATCAGCATTACAATGGAGCAAAACAAAAGTACTCCATGGATAAGGTGATCTACATGAGGTCATTGCTCACAGGTCCTGCAACAAACACAAGCCTAATAAGGAGTTACAAAGAGCACATTGGCAGGCACTTCCCACTCTATTAACACACAAAAAAACAAACAACAACAACAAGAAAGCCAAAGGGCCTCGAGGCCATTCCAAGCCATCTGAGTCCTTCTGATGAACCTGAGAAGAGGTTTCCCTGATTCAGAAGGAGGTGAGGCTTTGGAGCTAAGGCCTTACACCCAAGAGAAGAAAAGTTTCCAGTTATGGCATTAAACTCTATTTATTTAGTATTTGAAACATGGTGTACATTTATGAATTTGTATAAACATTTAGTACATCTAAAATCCACAACTGGTAAACAATCTGTGCTTTCTTTTTGTGTACAATTTTGGAGTTTCCATCAAGATATTTTGGTGTTGTGGAGAGACCCAGTCTGCGAACCTAATCAAACTGCCTCATATGACCACAGGAACTGTGACAGAGTGATCTGCTCCTTAAAAGGGCTGCTCCTTGCACAGAAAAGGTGTCACACTTCGGAACTACTAAACCAGGTGTCAAGGAAACAAGAGAAACACAGCTGACACAATGTAGGAAGCGTGAGGAGGAGACTGAGAGAGCTCCATCAATGTCCAGTGCGCCACACACAGACACCTAGAAATGGACACTCCCCTTCAGAACCTTCGGATGTTAGTGTGGAGTCTCTTCACCCCCAACTGGAGGGATTCTGTCCAGCAGGAGTTTGCGCTCTTGGGCACACTTCTTAGGGTGCCCCCAGAAGTCACAGCTGCAACTCTGTGGTGCCAACCAGGCCCAGGGCCCTGGCTTCTTCTGGAGTCAGGCCGCTCTTGAGGGTCCTTCGCACTGCAGCAGCACCCGCAGATCACAAAGGGATGAGAAGACAGGGAGGTGTTAGCAGCCAGCACGTGGTGATCCACTGCCCGCCCCCCCACACTCCCCAAGGACCCCCCAGGGTAGTCACAGGGTTCACAGATGCTCAGCCCCATCCTGCTCCTGCTGATGCCCTGCCCATCTATCTGCCAGGGCAGGGCAAATTCTGGGGCCGCAAGAGGCTGACCTGAAGATCCAAGTGGAGGGACTGACCTTGTAAGAGGGGAGAAAGGAAGCCCACCCTTGTAAGGGTTCTGAGAAATGGGTGCAATAGTAAAGTACAGACGGCATGTGGAGAGCTCAGCCTCTGGCTAGCACAAGGAGGGGGTCAGCGCTGGAACAGTCCTTACAGAACATAGGGGAATGCAAGTTCCAATGATTGCAAACTAGGTCAGATAACCCCACAAATCTGCAGGATGAGCACTGATTTGGGGGACCTGGCCTTGCAGAGCAAGGTGTTAACAAAACTGGGCAAGGGGCAGCAGTCAGGATGAATCTCTACGAGCATTGTGGGTCTTAGTCTCAACTCATCAGACGGCCTCTGGAGGCAATAACTAGTGACTCCTCATGGACTGGATGCCAAGGAGCAAATGGCCAAACTGCTGAATAGATTTGGTAGATGTTTTCTGTGAAATACACAAGGCCCAAGAAGGACCAACGACACTCTCCTCTGGGACTTACAACTGGCAGGTGGAGGAATGCTCATATGTGACTAAGAATTGGCTTATGTTTAGCTTGGCATTATGGGTTTTCCCATTGTTTAGTGTTGATCAATTCTGACATGAAAATAAAGGCTGGAAAAGGGTGAATGAGGAGGCCACTGTCCCTTCCAAGACAAGTCCTCTCATTTGAAAGGTTGCCTAATTACATTTCCCTTAATTTATAACTTGTATTTGGCCTACTTTCCACATAAGGCCATAGGGAGTTTCGGGTATTAGCTCTGTTTTCAGAAGAGATGTGTTATGGATATACCTTCCACCCTAAATCCTAAATCAGCCAGAGGACCTGAGATGAGCAGGACAGGATCAGAATGTGGAGAAAGTAAAGTTCACCCCAGTGTCTTCCCATCTTCCCGTGCCAGACCCAACTCCCCTCACCCCCGTATGGCCTGTATCCTCCCTCTCAGGGGGAGGCCTCAGATGATACAGACGCCAGGATTCCAGCCCATGTGTCTGCAAGCAACACCCCATATTCCATGCTTCCCTGTCCTCCCTTAAGCAAAAGCCCACTCAACCTGTGGACAAAGGATCTGAAGAGATCTGGTAGAATGCACAGGGTCTAAATATCTATGAATCAATGGTTTCTTCTCTCCTGGGAATTAGCACTTTGAACAGGGGTCAACGCCTAACCCATCAATTGGTCAATCAACAAATACTTTATGGAGAACCTATTATGTGCTCGGGACTTAAAGAATCGAAACACTGCTGGAAGACTCACACACCTCAAGTGTGGATTTGACACAAACAGACACACAAAGATCTATGCTGAGGGTTACCCTCAAATCCTGCCACCACACATGACCGTATTTTCAAGCTTCGCTCTGGGCCCCCAGCCATCCGTCTGCAGCCTCCTCCTGCACTGGCTCTCCCTCTCCCCACCCTTGGCCCCTGGGCTCCAGACTGTCTCACTGGTCCAGACAAAATGTTTGGCTCCAGAGCCTCAGCTGGAGGCAGATTGCATTTAACTGAGTAATGGAATTTGTTCTATGGGGCAGCAATAAAAATACTAGTTTGTAATAACCTTTTATGTTCTTTAAACACTCCTTCAAGTGTTTGTTAAAGAAAGATAATTTTAATGGCAGAAAATAAGATAAAATGTTTCTCATTCTTGACAAGGACTGTCAAGACCTCTCTTCCAAGACACAAAATTCGGCTTGAAGAAGACCATGCTCCACGAGCAGGGCATCTTGAACTTCATTAGGCACAGAAGGTGGCATGGACATGAGTCTATGAACTCTAATCACTGAGCCTTTAGGTATATGTGCTTGGCCAGATGACTACAGAAGACTTCCCGAACTGATGGGCATTTCACGGGAGGGCATTTAAAGACACTTCCTTAACACCTGGTCACGCATTTGCTTTAGTCCTATAACTGTGGTGTTCAGTTCAGTTCATGTAAATACTTGAATAAGGACTCTGGCACCTTGTAGGATGTGCGATAATCTCACTGATACGGGCACTGGGCCAGCCTCTTTGGGGCAGGCAGAGAATAGAACCAAGCTTAATGGCGCTGCTTTGGCCCCGCTGCGTGACTGCACAGAGATGTGCTCTCAGCCTCGTAGCCTCCTCTTAGTTTTGAGGGGCCACACCCCTTGGGGTCCTCCCTTGCCCCTTCTGCCTGGGCTCAGGTGTTCTCTGCTGCGGAGGAAAAAGCCAGCATAGGCCAGGTCTCTCTGCTCGCCAGGTGTGTCCCTAAAAAGGAATTCATAGAAAAACCTGCCCCATTAATGGAATCTGACTTTCTGTGGGCCTTTGTGGCAACTGAGATAAATTCTCTCATATTAAATACAACCACCCCGTCATAAACATATGTATATAGTAATATACATGTAATATACATATAGAAAGTAATATAGGAACCCCCCAAAGACCTTAAGAATCTGAACCCATTCTGTTAAAAAGTCACATATCACTTGAAAAGACATGTGAAATGAAGATGATTGTTGAAATCGGCTTTGCGCTCCTGTTCAAATTATGCATACAAAGGGCCTCTTTGGGTATCCATTCATCCATCTGCCTGCTCATCAATTCGTTTGTTCATTCATTCATCTATTCATTCACTCACTCAGCAAAGGTTACTTGGGCCTCTACCCTGAGCCAAGTGTTGCGATCAGGGAGGCAGGGGACCGACAGGGACACAGTAGGAGGAGAAAGTCTCAGGGTAGCATACCCTGGCTGGAGAGGGTGTTGGCTCTCACTCAGTTTCTGGAAAGCAACAAAGGACTGGGACATAAGAAAAAGAGGGGGGTGCCTGGGTGGCTCAGATGGTTAAGCATCTGCCTTCAGCTCAGGTCATGATCCCAGGGTTCTGAGATCGAGTCCCGCATCGGGCTCCCTGCTCCTTGGGAGCCTGCTTCTCCCTCTGCCCCTCTCTCTCTCTCTCTCTCTCTCTCTCTCTCTCTTGAATAAATAAATAAATAAAATCTTTAAAAAAAAAAAAAAAGAAAGAAAGAAAGAAAAAGAGGGGACCAGCAAATGGGCTGGCAGGATATGGAACTTGTACCATAGAAACAAGTCATCAAATGGGGATTTCTCCAGTCCAAGAGTGGGGGCGGGGTGCTGGCGTATGTCTGATAAGATAACGTCTGGGCCCCTCTCCACTCCCCACTCCTGCTTCCCGCTTGAACACTCTGGCTACGGCGTAGCTGCTCCCCAGACTGTCACCTCTGCCCACCTCCCCACCCTGCACCGCTTAACACAGAACAGCCCGTGCAAATGTTTGTCCCTGTGTGCCTTGCAGCTCTTCCCGGAGACGGCACGGGTCACTTTGCCGGCACCAGCAGCCACTCTCTGGCCCAGGCACTGGTGACAGCTCTCACGAGTGGGATCAGACACAGGAGAGCCTCAGCTGTCAACATGCAGCACAGCGGCGTCTGGGGACTCAGGGAAAAACCGCAAGTTCTTTTTCTCTCCCTGCCCCCAGAATTGAAAAATATTTTGATCCTACAAAAAGCTCTCAGGTGGCTCTTTGCTAAAAACGAGCTGAATCTGAGAATAACAGTGATGTCTGCCTCCATTTACTGAGGGTTAACCTGGATGATTCCATTTATTCTCTATGGAAACCCTATGAGAAGAGTACTGTTATTATTTCTCCAGCAAGTGAGCAGACAGCACAGAGAGATCAAGTCCCTGGCCCGAGGGCACACAGGAAATGGTCTACAGAGGGATTTAAGGCAGGACATGTGAGACACAGCCTACCCTGGAAACGGCAGGACATGTTCCCACCATCTTTCATACCCGTGGGACATCCACCGAGTTTTACTTCCATATGACAGAAATCTATTTGCACTCTTTCACCTTTAGATCACTGATACTTTTTGTCTCTTTTGCACAGAATGTCAAACAATTTGGAAATAAGTGAGCTTTTTTGTAATCCCTAAGATTCAGCTAAAGATTTTCTACCAAGTATACAAAGAGTAGTGTGTCTGGGACTACGGGGGCTAATATCAGAACTTCAAGAGGTCTTAAATGTATGTACCAGGTGGTTGGGAAGTAACAAGACTGCTGCTATTTATTCATGCCTTGTTTCTTGAGGGACCTGTCCACTAAATGGAGCCAAAATGGCGGGTTCAGTCATGCCTCTTTGGATTAAATATAGGGAACTGTTTTAAGCTCTATCACAATTATCGATTCCATATTAGACTTTCTGAAGGTTGGTCCGTTTTGTTCTGTCAATGTCGATTATCTAACCATCTGAGTTCTTTTTCTTGTTTCCACCCTCCATCTTGTTTTTCCTCATAAATCTATCTATTAGAAGCAGAGGTTTCCCAAATTGACAGGCATTCTACAAAATAACTGACCAGTACTTTTCAAAAGTGTCAAGCTCTTAAAATGTCCTGCACACATCAGAGGAGGCATGCCGTCTCAATGCAATGGAACAGCCTGAGGAGGGTAGTGGAACAGAAAGAGGGCATTCATAGACATACTGGTGAAACCTGAATCCAGCCTCTAGTTCAGTTAATTGTATTGTACTGAGGTTAATTTCTTAGTTTCAATAAATTATCCTAGGGTATGCAGGGTGTTAACATTAGAGGAAGCTGGGTAAAGGATACAAGGCATGTGTACTCTTTTTGCAACTTGTTTGTACGTCAAACTCTTTCAAAATAAGAAGTAAACAATGACGACAACAACAACAACAACAAAATCCAGAATAACAAGAAGTAAAGGTTCCCAAACCTGGTTGATTTGAATTCAGCTTCAGACTCAGCCCAGATGCACTGAACTCAAGTCTCTACGAGAGGCCCACGCACTGCA